AAACTGAACTAGATGGATGAAATATAATGAGCACCAATTTACAATTTAACTGCCTGAGGAAGCTGCTTGATCTGAAACAACTTCTTGCAACACTGCTAATTAGAAAAGGTTAGAAGCTGAAGTGACGGGACCGATGTGGAAGAGTCTACTTGGAGTCTGCATAGATCAATGGGGTTTGAGGACAGCTGCACTAGTTCAAAAGGACAAGCAAGTACCTACAGCAGAAAGCCAGCTGCATGACAGCAAACTCCCTGAAGCATCAGGGCTCCTCCTTGAGCTAAGTTTGCAGCATTAGGAAGGTCAGGCCACAGGAATTGTAGAAAACAGGGGAGAAATCATACAGAAGTGAATTTCCCACTCAAGGCTGCCCACTGCCCTGCCTACCTCCCCATCACCCTCGAGATGATGGAGAATAGAAATCTGGCTGTTCTAAAGCATTGAAGTTGAAAGTGAAAAAATCTAAGAACCCAATAAACCTGCTTCAAGGATGAGTTAAATAATAACAATCGTAATAATAAGATGATATATATTTCACTTCTAACCAATATATTTCTAAACAAAGGAAGGTGGACATAGTACTAAAACAGAATAGTACTAGAAACGGAATAAACATAGGCAGCAACTGCTTTGTGTCTGAAAGAGAGAAAAGAGGGGGGAGAGGGGGAGAGGGGGAGAGGAGGAGAGGAGGAGAGGAGGAGAGGAAGAGAAGGGGAGAGGAAAAGGGAGTGAGAGACAGAGACAGAGAGAGGGAGGATTCTCTGAAACAAGAAATTAAAACTATACAATAGATCAACAGCCAAAGACATTATATAAAACACATCAAGATAAAAAGCTTGTTAATTGAGGTGAAGGTTAAAATAAAAATAAAGCTATATACTGTTTTAATTAGAAATCTTTTGGTTGTAAGGCCATGGGAAAACCAGGGGTTGCATTTGGCCTCAGATGCAGAGATAGGAAAGTTCAAGAAGGACTCTTTTCTCCTCTCTCATCTCTTGTTTCTCTCTGTGTAATGAAAGGCCTTCATTTTCTCCTGTTGCAGGTTGGCTTCTTCAATCTGGATGTGGATATAGCCACAGCAGCTCCAAGTTCACACCTCATGCTCCACCGCCTGAGAAGTCTCCCTCTTCCTTTATTCAAATTTGAAACACCCAGGAGAATAACTCTGATTGGCCCAGTTTGAAAATCACATGCCTACCACTATGGTCAGAGTGGGGTACTACCACTGGCAACCCTCATTAGAAAGACAGTAGAGTGAGGGGAGGATTAACAGGATAGAAAAATGAACAAGTAGAAAGCCAACCTGAGTCCTCCTCCCAAACTCAAGGCAAAGGACAAAGACACACCAATCACAGAACTGTGCAACAGACCCACACCCAAGGTTATTCACATTTCATCATTTCTCCAACACGTAAGTTTCAGGAAATGTTCTAAGCAATATGGGCACAAGTGAGGAAAAAAAAGAGAAATGTTTCTAAACAAGATAATTCCAGGTAAAAATAAATGCTCTAAAGAAAATAAAGAGGAGTGATGTGTTAAACATTAATCTGTGATGCGGTCCAGAAACGTCTTACCATGGAAGTTCACGCGTCAGCTGAGTCTTGAAGAGCAAGAAAAAGCCAGCTATGCAGATGTACCAGGGGACAGCCCCTGGCAGAGGGAACAGCTCGGGTTTCACTTCTTCAGGAAATCCTTCTCCTGAGTGATGACAAGCCTCCTCCCACCCTCCCCATACATCAGGGCCTCAGACTTGGTCAGGCCCCAGCTTCACATGCTCTCTCGGTATCTACACTTAAACAGTCCCTCCGCAGTTGTAACTACCTATTTATTCGAAAAATGGTTTTTTCCTCCATTTGGGTATAACATCCACAAAAGCCAGAACTATACTTTTTGCTTAGGAGATACTTAAGAAATGTCTGTTAAATTAACAAATGAATATGCTGAGGAAAAACTTTCCAAATACGGAGAAGAGTCTATATAAGTTCACATTATGTAAAGAGATTTGGAAATATGGTAAATTCAAAGATCTTGGGTACTGAGCTGGCACGACACACACCAGACTTTACCTGGTGTATTTGAAGAGAAGAAGATTAATAAAAATTGAAAAAAATAAATTCTTTCGAAATAGAGCACAGGTCAACAAGATTAATTAAAGTCATAAAGGGCAGATTGCAAGGTCCCAATATTCACTTAGAAGGAGTTTCAAAAGAAGAAAATTAAGGTAATTGCAAAAAAGCAATATTCAGAAAGACAAGAGCTGGGGATTTTACAGAAAAGATGTGAATTCTCACATCACCAAACGACCTTCAAAGACCAAACAGAATAAATAAATCTATGCCTAGAAACACTTTGGAGAAACAGAAGAATATTTAGGATAGAGAGAAACTCTTAAAGCTCCCAGTCCGTTCATTGGGCCTACAACAGCCCACTAGCCATTTTGTTCACGTAAGCTATAAATGAATTCAGCAGCCTTGTGCTGTTAATGAACCCACCTCACTGTAAGTGAGCACGCCTAGATTGCATTAATTAATCCACCGCCATCTATCAGGTGTGTTAGATGGTTAGAGAATTTTGATCATTGCTGTCTGACAGCTGTAGAAAAAAATTGTCTGATTGCTTTGAAGCTAGATTTTTTTTCCCACAGTGCTCAGCCACTGCGTCATACTGCCTCGGAACTGTCTGCCTGATACCGCCCCAAATCTGGTTTCTTCTGTAAAAGAAGTCATATCCCCAAATTTTAGTTATTTGGCTTTTAGAGACAATATGGCTAACCAACATCTAAAGTAATTTTTTACATTTTTAATGTATTTGTTTTAATTTACTCTTTCCAGGTATCTTGGCTCTATTCATTAGTCACCTTGAAAAGAAA